GCAAACTGTCGTCGCCCTTTACTATCTCCAGCGGTGTGAGACAAAGATGCACACTGTCACATTTCCTCTTCAACTTCGCTATTTGTGAAGCCATGGCAATCGCGTTCACAGGACACGACTTATAAGGTGTGGATCTGCTCCCAGGAGAACGACATCTTGACTTAGGGTATGCTGATGATATTGCCCTGATCTGTGACAGCTCACAAACGTGCCAAACGGCACTGGCTGTCAGCCGCTTCGGGCTTTACTTTGCACCCTCGAAGTGCAAAGCGTTCCTCCAAGCTTGGCCTGGACCGTCTCCTTCGCTGACCTTTGGTGGGGATCAGCTAGAAGTCGTTCAAAAATTCAGCTACCTTGGTAGTTGTATCAGCGCCCGTGTGATTGAAGATGAGATCACGAAACGTATAGCAAAAGCTCCTCGAGCTTTTGCTAACCATCGCCACTTATGGCGCCGGCACGACATCACTCTTGCCCTGAAGGGTAGAGTGTACAATGAAGCGGTACGTTGGACCCTACTGTACGGTTGGGAAACCTGGACCCTTAAATCAGCGGACCTGAAGAGGCTAGTTACGTTCGACCACCGATACCTTCGCAATTTAGCTCGCATCTGGTGGGAACACCGCGTGAGCAACGAGCTTGTTCGACGCCTTGTTTACGACTCAGGAAATGGAAATGAACCGCTCAGCACCGTTATTTCACGCATCAGGCTCCAATGGCTCGGCCACGTATTTCGCATGTCAGCCGCACGACACCCACGACTTGCGTTATTTGCGCGCTGGAGGTGTGGATGGACGAGGAGGAGGGGCGGCCAAGCGATGACTTGGTCGAGAGAAATGAAGACCCTCACTTCGAAGCTGGACTCAGTTGGAGCGTCTCGTCACGCTGGTTGGGGTCCAAAAGACGGTGAACACGTTTGGCTTGATACACTTGTTGATATGGCTAGAAGCCGACCTCAGTGGCGTTCCTGCTGCGAGTTTTTTTGTCCCACCCCATTCCTCTTAGCCCCCCCTCCAACCACTATCTCAGTATTTAACATTTTATAATTTTGTTTAGTAAATTATTTTTTCTGCTGCATAGTAGCCGGCTGGTAGCTTACCGGAACGATGCCCATCCGTTGCTGGTAGCTCAGCTGGCTTGCACCTGTTGCATTCTATTCCCTTTTTCTCTTTCAGTTATTGCGGCACATTAGCTGAGGTGTTTCCCACCCCCAACTAACGTGTATAGTGTGTATGTGTGAATGGCAAAAGTCAGCTTAAGCCCGGAGTACTACCACTCAACACGGTCATTTTCCTAACTACAGCTGTGGATGTCGCGAACGCTGTACTCCTGCAATTTGGCGCAGTGGCTACAAATAGCACAGATCCTTCGCCTTGTAAACTTCAAGCAAATGTCGTTGGTATAGCCAGTGTCACCTCTACCCCATCAGCTGCCGCAAATAAATTAAGATCTCTCTGGAAATACAGTGCCCCCCTGAATCGACAAGATCTGTCCAAAAGTACTTAAAACCCTTACTCCCACTATGGCACTGCCTCTTGCGGCATTTTTTCAGGGTCTGGTTGACTCCCACACATTCCCATCTGAGCGGAAAAATGGGATCATTACTGAGCTATACTAAGGTGGTAAGTAATCGGATTCTACCAACTACCGACTTCTTACTGTTTTATCAAAAGTGATGTAATCGGTAATCACACATGAATTGATGCGACGTTTGAAACTTTGCAGATTATTTCTAATATCCAACAAGGTTTCAGGCGCAGACGATCTTGCCTCACAAATCTGCTGCTTATTCGGAACTCATGGGACAGCGCGGCTGACGAAGTAGTCCCCTTAGATGTGATTTACTTAGACTTTTCTAAGGCATTCAACAGGGTCATTCACTTCGTTCTCCTCCACAAGCTTGGTGTCTACGGCACAAACGGTTCCCTGTACACTTGGTTGGAAGATCACCTACAAAACAGAACCACCAAGGTAAAAAGAGCCAACAGTCAACGCGAAAGCCTAAGCGTCTCCAGTGGTTTACCACAAGCATCCTTCCTCTGTCCGCCACTGTTTTTAGTCCACATCAGTGGTCTTCCTGCAAATATTTCTTTCCTGATCCAAAGATTTGATGTTGATACTAAAATAGGGAGAGCAATTCGCTCCTCATCCGACCATACATATCTCCAGAACGATCTGAACCGGATTAAGGAATGCGTAGAAAGGAACCAGCTCCCATTGAACCCTGCAAAGTGCCACCCTCCGATGATGCGTAGCAGCTTCATCAGCAGATATCTTTTGGGGCAATCGGTGGCACAGCAACTAGTTTGGCTGCCCGAGGCGGACGTGAAATTTTACGCCCTGACTGATGGCAGAACAGGCGCGTGAGGGTCACACGATCAGCGCTTAGGTTTCGATGAAATGGAGGATCGTTATGGGACACTGAGGCACATGTGGTGAGAATGACCACAATGGGTCAAGTAAGAGGAACAATAGGAAAAACATTTGCACAGGTATGATACATGGCGCAAATGGGCTGTTTGATCATACAAAGCACCTTTAAAATATTCCACCCTCCGCTTATCCGGATATTTTGCTCTTTATGTCTGGTATCGGTGTTAGAAAAGTAATAAAACAAGTAGATATGATTCCGTAACCGTTCATGGCTGTAGACTTTAATCTGGCTCCGGTGGTTCACTGACGTTTGTTTTAAAGTATCATTCCGCTATCTTTCTTGGCTGTTTAGAGTCGTTATTTGTGCCCTCAGATCGCAGTCCCACTCTGGCGCTACCACTCTCACTTTCCGTTCTTTGTGTGTACCTGCTTGGCTCCTCAGTTATTTACTTTTTTCTTGCCTTTACTTGTCCACAAGCTTTCTGTAATAATGTCAGCCTTCACTTTTGTGTATCATGCTATATAACGACATGGTTTTCTTACGTAAAGGAATCTTTGCGTCCTTGTCCTTGGTCGTTCGTGTTCCCACTGCCGTTACTGAGTGGAAGCAGTCGCAAGGTGCGACGGAAGTGTTAAACCAGCATGGTTATTTCTTCTGATCAGTTTCAGTCCCTCCTTCAGTAGCAGCAGCAGCAGCAGCAGCAGCAGCAGCAGCAGCAGCAGCAGTTCCAGTTTGAAGAGTCACAGCGGCGGTTAGTTAAGTTGCTATCACAAAAGCCCAACAGCCAAGTGGATTAGGAACAGGAATTGAGGCAGACATCTCGGGAAATTGCATCGGAAGACCACGAGCTGCTCACTTTGAACCTTGACCCAGAAATAATTGAACCTTTATATAGCAGAAGGGAACCCAAGTTTTGTCACACAGATATTCATAGCGAAAATGTGAATCTAAATTGTCAAAAGCACACAAATTCAGGTGCGTGTGTACTCCAAGCTTACAAGAAAGCTCCAAATTCGAGATCAACAGGTTTTGCGGCGCAACGAGGGAAGCGACGTATGCAGTATCTCGTGCAGTCTTTTCAGGGAAGAGAAAAGACCTTGCAGTGAAACGCAACAATATTCCGGTATCGCCGCTATCAGAAACCGTGCATGCTGTCATTACCCTTCGTCGTTCGACCAGGTCAAGACATGGCACCTCGTTAGTCAACTCTATAATTCTAACGGTTTAAAATCCTTCAGAATAACCTCTGCAACTGAAAGGAAATATCGCCTGCGAACGCAGACTCAAGGATCTGCAATTCTCTGGAAATATTTACCCAGAATTCTGTGCCGATGTTAATCTTCCCGGAACCGATTAGATTACTAAGTCGAATTTACTCAAAGAGCCACTGAGTCACATGATTTCTGTACCGTTTTTTACTGTCTGCAATATTGGCCCTAACTGTTCTAAATGCTTGTGTGGTTACAAGTTACCTGTACGGACGACATTGCTGTCCCGGCCGAAGTCTGTACCGCTATGGTAGCGGATCCAGGTTGACCCAGGTGGATTCCTTCGTCGGAAGAGCAATGCGGACCAAGCGTGAAGTTATTTCTCGAGAAGCGGAAGGTGTTAGAATAGCAATAAAAAATTCAGGTATGCTTCTGTAACCGTTTATGGCTATAGACTTTCGTTTGGCTCTGGTTGTTCACCGACGGTGGTTTTAACGTATCATTCCGCTATTTTTATTGACTGTTTAGAGTTGTTATTTTGCCCTAAGACCACAGCTCTACTCCGACGCCAAGCTCTCACTTTCCGTTCTTTGTGTGCGCCTGATTGGCTCTTTATTTGTTCAGTTTTTACTGGTCTTACTTGTCCGCCCGCTTTTCGTAACGTGAATGGCTTTCACACTTGTGTGTCATGCTATATAACGGAATGGTTTCCTCACATAAAATACTCTTGAATCTTTGGTGCTTCGTGTTTTCACTACCGTTAGTGGATGGAAGCAGTCAGCTGGTTGCGACGCAACAAATCAAAATTCGATTGCTCTAAAAATGTCTCCCCCTGTCAGATGCCATTCGGGTCGGACCGCCCCCTCGTCCTCTCTGCTACGCCACTGGGGGCAACACGTCCTGAAACACACAACTAATAATCGCTACTTAGGGCTCGTCGTACAGGAAATTCTTGGCATTTCGCTTCACCGTCCGAAAGCAGTAAGTGTGACGAGCTTTAACTCGTGACTTTTAAGGCAAGACACGCTAACATACGCATGATCATGGTAAAACGAACACGGATGATCGGTAAATATAAAACTTTGCAACTTTGCCATTGTTCACGAACTGACTGAATTATCTCACAACCTACGTCCTCTGATTTTACTGTTTGGAATTTTGGTAGGAATTTCGCAATCAAAAATGCCGATGAGCTGTATCTTGTTAACCCAGGATGATAGTCGTAGTGACGCTCATGAAAGTGCCTTCTGAGCGTACAAGTACTTAGCGCCCAGCCCAGGATGTGTCACATGCGCTCCTCGTGAGACACGTGATGGAGCATACTGTGCAAATCATCTTGTCAAGTCCCCTTTACAATACATCATTTCGTTGACTGCTAAACGCCTGTTCTATTCTGCCCACTCTCTGTACCACCTGAACAGGTTCCTGAATCTCGCTCTGCAACTGTGCACCTGCTGGAGGCGATTCGACTGGAGCGTGGCACCGGTCCCATACTGATTCACTGTCTGAACGGTGCTACGCGTAGTGGCCTGCTGGCCGTATGCTACGCCGTGACAGAGCGCATGACACGGGATCACTATGTCGACCTCTTTCATGTGATCAAAGCGATAAAGGTGCGCCGCAGAGCCGTTGTTTCCAGTCAGGTAAGTATGCGACTTCCATCTATGTTATACTCTCAAGCCGCCTAACTTTCAGCAATTATTTAAAACAGTCGGGATTCCTGATGCAGCATGGTCTTCCTAGTAAGGATAATGCTGTGGCCTGTTTCAACAAGAAATGTCGGATAATAAAACAGGCACGCTTCATCATCGATGTATAAAATGTTACCCATAGGACAATGCACAAAATGATTGCTTCCTCATGAAGTGTGTGGGATGCTTGACTTAGTGATAAATAATGCTCATCATCATAGAGACTGTTCAGTAGGATCCTTAAATATTTAACGGCAGTAATTCACTACATGCTTCCATTTCAATGTTGCCTCGTGAGCCGGGAAATTGAAGAATATTCCTGGAATTTCACATACCTTTTGAGTCAATTAAAATAGATAGTGCTAAAGCTGCGCGCGCTCTTTAAATCAACGCTTGCAATAGTCTCTTTAACTTCAGTTATTCACCCTTGGTTATCTGTCAGGCCTCGAAGGTTTCACTAAAACTCTAATCTTGCTGACAATTCTGCCTTGGTAAGGACTGCCACACCTCATTGCCCATCACAATGGATGTGTGTGCTTACAACTACATGTGGTATTTATGCCCAACTACCCGACGTCAACTGGAAATAGGCACGAAGGTGTGCCAGGTACGGATGTAAGCTGAAGCCTACTCTCTCCTGGGGTTCATACCTACTGTTATCGCATGAACTGTGCTATAAACAAAACGCAGTAGCATCTATGTTCACCTTTAGCTGAGGCCTTAAAAGAGCTGTCGCCGAAGATAAGCCTCTTTACTTTATCGGGTTAGTTGTCCCGTTGTGGGGTTCCGTGTTTCGTCACGCTAGCACTGTTTCAATGTTGAATATCCATCTTCTTCCTCCTTCATTCAGTAGTTGGAATGCGCGGGGCCTCAGTCAATCATACTTTGCTGGACTCCCACTCTTGTGTGCGAAGCAGCAAATAACTAAACAAATAATACATAAATTCTCGACTACGAGAGGCACGCCTGCCCAGGCATGATCATAGTAAGAGTACAAAATGTGCTTAGTTAATGTACAATGGAATAATGGGTCTGTCGCATATGCTGATATATGAATGCATGTATGTGTGCATCTAGACGTGTGTAGTTGTGTTTATCGGATTTGTAAATGCTTTCCTGCACTTTTGACCTTGTCGGCAGTGCTAAAGAGATGCTTGATGATTGTGCACTTGAAGCGGTTGTCCGGATAGGCAAGGGTGACTAGTAAATGGCGAGTCACAACCGCCACGTCACTGTGTTGGTTAACTGACATTTCCGGCTTTTTATGGGAAGAAAGCTTGTCAGACGAAACACTGTCGCCGAACAATTCGCTGGAACGGGATTAACGCGGACCATCCAGATAGCATCACGAGGAGGTTGTTCGGCTAGCCAGCCAAGTGGTCATTTGGTTCATTTGAATGCTAGCAGCATAAAAGGGACCCACGCCGATAACAACTGTGTCGCATTCCGCATCTTTTTCAGGGTTTTATTCGTTGTTAGGTTTTGGAATACTCCATGGGTTATTGTAAACCCCACAAGCAATCTGCAATGGAACCGCGGTTTATTCTGAATTGGTTCTCGGTCAAGTGTTGTTCCCCAAGAATCTCAGTGACCAAGCGTCAATCACCATGATTTTTTTCCTTTTAGGTAGCACAGTTATCTAATCGACTATTTTACTCACTGGATAAACGAAAACGCTGCCTCTAAAACTGCAATTAAGCACACAACATGTTAGCTTAATATACGATTCTACGAACTGTAGTGCGTTGCACCGATAGGCGCAGTACTAGGACCAAGCCTGTCCTTAGTCTCTATGAGCCATCTCGTGGGTGTACTCAGCTCAAAATTCCGACTCTCTGATGATGCTTTTAACATACGAAGAGCTGCCAATTTACACACTACTGTGTAATTACGACAAATCAATCGTCATTCATTCAGAAGGTATTTTTGTGCAGTCATTTTTAAAGATTTGTCCTTGCGCCTAACTATATGCACGAACGCCATCTATGGAACAAAATTCTATACTGGGTTTTCCGATATCGGGGAGCATATTCAAAGCACACGATTGTTCGATATGGACCGAAAAATGCGTCAATAAAGACAAACTGATGCTTCGATCAACCCCACACTGAAGCGGCTATCTAGACGTGATGCTCACGGTAGAAACGCGGCTCTACTTTTCTCGAGGTCCCTCGGTATAAATCAACCAATTACGGAAGAAGCCTAATACACTCCCTGTAACTCAAAATGGCAGGGAAATTCTTCCGAGCACTGGAGTGCCAATCATTGCCTAGCAGCTTGGCAACAGCATGCTAGAGTCTATAGAACGGAAGTATAAATCCTATAAATTACAGTGGTTAGGCTAAACTGCCACTGTTTAAAGTCGGCCGAGCACTTCAATGGGCTTCAGCTTTTGCGCAACATTTTATATTCGAGCACATGTCTTTTATAGATCACTTTATCAAGAAAGTTCCTGTCTGTGCCGCGTTCGGAAAGCGGCCAGGTGCAGTACTCACTTAACTGAAGTAACTTGCGCAGCTTGCAGCATCGAGGTCCCAAAATGGACGGGTTCGCCCTTGGTCGCAATCGCGGCGGTTACGCATAAACTTGGGTGTGACGCACATACCGGGTGTTTACTTAATCTGGTCCAGAGCTAGGAGCAGCTACACTCAGGTACTGACGACAACCAGTACGCTGAATTGCTAACTGTCCAATGGCGCAAATTGCTTTGCCGGCAGGGGTGATTTAGTACACAAACGCCACATGTGTGCCTACGTTCGCAGAGCACACCGAGCCGTTCGGCTGTGAGAAGTGTACGTTGGCCATACCCCACAGCCGCAATGAATGCGTCATGCCTCGACCGCATGGCAAGACCTAGAGAACGCACGTGTTTCATCTGTGAGAACTGGATGTGAGCCGAACACCACATAGCCGCACTAAACGTGTCATGCTTCGATCGATCGGTAGCCGGCCTTCCTACAGGTGAAAAGCCAGCAAAATAACTAAATAAATAAATAAATACTTTAATGTCGTCTTTGCGAGGCACACCGTCAAGTGCGTGATCATGGTAATACAGACATGCATGATCGGCAATTGCACAAATTAGTATATTTTGACAGATAGAATAGGAATGTATGTGTCTGTTGACATGTAAAAGTATGCTTGTCTGTAGTTGGAAATAGCTTTATCGTGTGATTAAGTAAATGTGACTCTGTGTGTGTTTTTGTTTGTTGGGTTCGACATCAAAGTGAAAAATCAATGGAACGCTTCGAATCGGATGACGTTCGAGATTTGTGAATGATCCTCCGGAAAAGTAAAGAGGCAGTGATTTTATTTAGTGACGAGTCACATCCGCCACGTCACAGTGTTGTTAAACGGATATCTGTGGTCTTTTATAGGGAGAACGCTTGCCAGGCGAAATCCCACCACATCCTGGAACACTGCCGGCGAACCATTTGCTGGAACGGGATTTACTCGAATCACCGGTTGGCACCACGGGGAGGTTGTTCGGCTAGCCAGCCAAAAGGATTACATGCGAAGTGTGTCACTATGCTAGCAACTGAGAAAACAGCCTGGTCGTATGTGATGACCGGTTGATGGGCGCCGTATGGTTATCGCCACAAAAGCTGTTCTCGCCTCATGACTGCCTTCCAACGAACTCGTAAGCTTTTATTAGGCTGCTTTCACTGGTAAAGGGAATCATACTGCCAGAAGCACATTGTGCGGTTACAGTGTTGTTCGCTTTACCGTTTCGATCGCGTGTGTGTTACAGTTGCAAATTCACCCTTCGAGGGTGCATGAAAACGACTCCTTAACTTGACATAACAGTGCTCTTAGATTTCAGTCTGCCTCGACACACTGGTCTCATCCTTAGACAGCACACCAATTTGCTCATGAATGCAAGTATTGCCCTCACAGTCAGACAATTGCTAGTTGTACAAAATTAATCAGGCCTTCGATGGTGTTTCTCATGTACAATGGAGAATATACATTTACTCATTTCTACTTATATTTACATGAAAGATGTGAAATCTTGGTAAATCTCAACGATTTAGATGTTCGAAGTGTCCACTGTCGTGTTGGCTACAGACGATCATTCGCCGAATGGTGTTTGCGAGCACTTTCTGCAATATCTCCAACAAAATCTGACAATATTCATGCACAATATTCTCTTTCAGTTGAGCTAGGTTTTTGGGTTATGTTCTATTTACTCAGCGCTTCAAGTATAGCCATAGGAAAAAATCCATCGGATGCAGATTAAGTGATCGCGCAGGCTATTTCATCGGTCTTTTGCGACCGATCCAACGTCCACTGAATGTCTCGTCCAGGTAGGCATGAACCGATTGCGTCGAATGTGAAGGTGCATCATCCCGCTGCCACCAAACGCTATTTATTAACCCTTCCGACTGTAGTGGCGGAATGACGCTGCTCTTCAACATTTGCATGTATGATGGTGCTAAGAAAGGTCAGACTTTGCTACTGTTAGACGAAAACCTACTGGATACACTCCTGGAGAAGAAAAAGGACCCAAGGACTTTTCGACCAGTCAACCCAGCACAGGCCATGAGTTTCGCGCTATGTTGCACACGTGAAGCGCTATATTGCCGTGGGTTGGTCCCTGCTCAAACATGCATCGTATCTTCGCCATGCAACGGGTACACCTCCTCATTAGTGAAAAAATGGAATGCTTGTCCGGAATTTTCGGAAACAGACGGGCGAATTCCAGTTGCTTCTGTTGATCGCATTCGTTCAACGTTTGCAACTCCAGTGCACTGTACCGCCGGAAATTTTTTCCATTCAATATTCAATGCACAGCATACGGTGTGGTTTCGCAATATTGTGCGAGGTTGCCGACTATTGAGATGGCTGTTACTGTGTACTTCTTGCTCAACCGCGCGAGCTGCTACTTCATCCATGACGATGCGAGGCCGTCCGCTTTGTTTGATTTCGCAAACATCTAATTCGTTACTATTTACCGAGATTCACACATTTCATGTAAATATAAGTAGAAATGAGTAAATATATACTCTCCATTGTACACGAGAAACACCATCGAAGGCCTGATTAATTTTA